GACTGTTGGTTATGTTTACCTTCGGTAGAGAAAATAGTCCCATTTACACGTCTGCGTTTCATCTTCTCGGTATCTTTTTACTCATTATTTTTGCTCTAAAACATCAATCTCTGAAGCACAGCGATTTTTATCTGAAATACTGCTTGCAAATATATTAATTTTGCTTTACTTGCCTGGTGCGGAGGGACACATTATAGGTCAAAGGTCAAACAGTCTAGTTTCAATGTGACGCTGGTTTCGTGTGGTCAGGGTATTATTACCATCTCCGCATATTGGATAAATGCGTTAAACCATATACGTGCAGTGTTTATATGAGCCAGTAAACAACCGTGAGAGTTTTTGAATGCGAGAGCGATTTAACTCAGTCTTGCAATCTTTTCGGGTTCGTATAAATACGGACGAGGCTTAAGGTGTGCATAATAATAAGGGTGTTCACATAGTCGTCAGGTATACTTTCGTAGACGTGGCTTTTGCGCTGATAATTTTGCATATTCTGTAGAGTTTTGATAACAAGCGCGCCAGAAGGGTGTGGCTGGTTCAACGAAAGCATGGAAGACAATCGTCGAACTGTAGGATATGCGTTGGTGCTGTGTATCTTCTTTTGCATCGTCAAAGGTAGGAGGCATTTGTTTTTCCGTACTTACATACTCATTAAAGATTTTTTGTCAGTTATTTTATATATTGTCAGTGCTTTTAAATTTAAGGCAGTGAAACCATGTTTAAGATAAAACAGGTGGCTTATTGTGCTAAAGCATTCCATCAAATGTCTTTTTTTTTCTGGTATTTATGATACTTTTTCACAACGCATCACTACGGTGCATTTATTTCAAAAGACTTCATGTTTGAATCAATAAGATCTTTTTGTTGTCGATATTTTAATTGGACCTCTGTAAACGATCGAATGATTCTTTTTCAAAATGTCCTGTCAATAGGCAATTAACTTAACAAACAAACAAATTAATCATAAATATGTCCAATAAATGTTACCTAGTTTAATTATTTTTGCGTACGTTAAAGCAGTAAATGAGAAAAATCGTGTGTGGCGCAATAGCTATTGAACCACTCATGTTTTAATTACTTAAACGATGTTCACTACATGACAGATGTGAAAGGTACATGTATACCATCGCAGATGTGAAATGTATCACAGGTAATACTAGAGGTAATATTAAAGGTATTATCAGACTCATCCTTCTTATTAATTTCCATGCCATGTGTACTAGTAGTTGACACTGTTGTGGAGAGCGAGGTGCACGTTGATCTTTCTAATCTTAGACATTAAAACTATTATAAATATGGAGAAATTTCGTATTCACTTCGTGTTATCATCCTTACACACGTCGTCTAAACGCTGTTGGACTTAGAAATTATTTTTGTAAAACACTTACTAACTTGTGCCTTGTTTTTGTCATGGATAAATGTTGCAAACGTGCATGTGATGAATATAATATGATATCCTTATGTCATAGCTTTTACATGATTATAAATGTAATAATAATCATAATAATAATAATAATAATAATTTTATTTGAGTACTTGAATGTTCATAGATACATTTGCAGGCACTCTCATCTTCATGTTATACAATGGATACATTTGTGAGAGGTAAACGTTAAACAATAATCAAACATTTAGTATAAATATGAAATAATTTCGATATGAACCGTCAGTGCTTTATCAACGGAAAGGCATTTTGAATTAAATGAGTAGAAAAAAAACTCGCATGAAATGGCGGATCCTAACACATAAGACGTTTGACATTTAAAAGCAGAATCGTGTGAGTCTTATTTTATAACATAATACCTCCACTCTGCATCATTAGAGTACATATCAAAATAACCCGAAAGAAAAGCAGAAGTAATGAAGTTTCCAATTCCAAGAATGTTCCATCCAAATTGTCAGACTTATTCCTAGATTTGTTTTTTGCATCCGCAGTTCGGAAAATATACTACCATGTCAGGATATTGCTGCGGAATAAAACATAGGCTTCTAAATCACGCGTTGTACATCTCTTAAAGGTTTCTTTCTCTCCCTCCTCTCTCTCTCTCTCTCTCTCTCTCTCTCTCTCTGAAACTCGTGCGCCCGTGTGCGACTCAACGCTCAATTAACATGCGCGCCCTCGCACGTGTGTTGCAATGTGAAATGCTATTGATGTTTGACAACAGATCTAGAGGTACAGTAGGAAACAAATAAATGGGTATTTTTTAAAATTTTTCAGTCCATACAACACTTATTTCCCATATACCACATGCTATTTGTTGAAGAGGTGGCTGCTTGTGTAGTATCTAATATTGGTACTTCTAGCTTAAGTTTCCATTAGTCAAAGGCAACCTTTGAACGAGCGAGTTCAAGGACATGAACCATATAATCCTAGTTTAATGACGCTGTCAGTGATTTCATCCATGAAAGGATATGAAGTATTTTGTCATATGAACAGACACTCAACATACCAAGAAAGAAAATCACAGTGGACAGAGAGCGAGAGAGACAGAGAGAGAGACAGAGAGAGAGAGCGCTGAATAATTATCTAAGGGACCATTCCCAGACCCTATCGTACTAACTGTAAATCGATCTATCTCCGAGGGGATTCTCGCTAAATTTCAACTTCGGCGGCTTAGATGTCTGTGACGCCTACTGAAGCTGGTAGGGGGAAATCAATTATCGTTTAACAGCTTCAGTAGACGTGCCAAACATCTAAGCCGCTTAAGCTGAAAGCAATTTAGCTAGAAACCCCTCGGATCCTGTTAGATCGATCTCGGTATGAGAAGACCTCTATTATATGTGCGAGATAACTAACTCCCGCAAATTATGAAATAATAGTAGCGGGGTTTGCTGTTGTAATTATGTAAAATGAAAAATCTAGAACAATTTATGTGTTCCATTTATGATAATGAAAAGGTTGAGCGATTTCTTTCAGAGTAAAAATAATACTAGCTGGGTTATAACTGTAAAGGTAAGTTCAGTTATGGATGCGACCCGCCGCCGTGTTTCGCCCTTTCTGTTATTATACCCTATAGCTAATAAGTCTCCTCTCATACCAAAATTAACCCAGTATGATTTTCTATATCATATTATATATACCTGAGTTAACTGTTCGGCAAGGCAAATAGTATTAGTGTTCTCATTAAAGTATCCATGTAAAGTATATTCGTGAAGGACCGTTGGCCGGTATTTTTTTTTATTTTTTTGTACTTCACTAGATCTCTCTCTTTTCCCATTTTTTTATTATTATAATTTATTTTTGTAAAATTTTCTTATGTCACTTGCGGATTAGGCTTTCCTTTTGTCCTTTATTTGCTTTCAAGTTTGTTTTAACACAAAGAAACGCTCTCCGTTTGCGTCTGCCTTGTAACACAGACCTTGACCGAAGTAAAAATAATCAAAACATGGGATCGATTTCAGCCGACGGGTTGTTTTGCAACTTTTCAAGATTGTCAACCGTCACAAATGCGTTAACGATAAGCATTCCACAGTCTGTCCAGTGGTCAGTTGTGTTTTTGCACAAGGATAAAGGACACCCATGGCAATACGAATAGACGGCTTATAACGCGCTGAACTTGTTAAATGAATGCTTGCCTCTGTGTGTATCTCTCAAATTTTTCATTCGTCTCCTTTAAAAGGAAGCACAGGATAGTGAGCTGTGATAAAGAACAATCTTTCTCTGTCTGTAAAAGATATTAGTTCTGGAGCGAATGCAGTCTTGTATAACCATGTTTTCGAGGCCACTTTGATTAAAAAAATGCGAACATTTAGGTCTTAAAGACGTCAACAGATTTTAAATAGGAAAATACACAGTGAAATATAAATATTATCAGATAGGTTACACCGTTAAGCAAATAAAGGCAACTCAAAGCAGACAGTACTACAATTTAATATGCAACAGAAAGATGGAACAGAAATTCCCCAATTGCATGCTGCGCGCATGGTCTGATAGTGAAAGGCGTTGTTATGTCACAGGTAAATTGGGAGAGGGAAATCAAGCGAACTGGGTCATGCTTAGCATTCGCGTGCATGTGGAGAAATCGGTAATGTGGTCCGCAGAAGTCAGGAACGATTGCGCTGTTTGCATGTACGTCGTGACAGAAAATGGCTAATGTGATTTGTGCGTGGCGAGGTGTTACATAACGTCTAGGGATTTTGTAACCATTGGCTTCAACGTGACAGGGTAGATTAATGTATTTATCTATTTGATTTATTATTATTATTTTTTTTTTTGGGGGGGGGGGGAGTTTTGGATAGGATTTTGTGACAGAAAGGATGAGACCAAGAGAGATGAGTTGACGAAAGACAAACGGTCTTTTTCATTGTTCCAATTTACCTATTATTGCAATTGATAATGACCATTTTGGCGACAGTTAGATAACCGTGTAAAATGGTAGTAAATTGTACCATTTAAGAAGATCACGGTAAAAAGAATTGTTCAATACGAAATGCTGTGGCATACAAATAGTAAAAAGACGAATATCATATGACATTTATTATCTCTGCAGGAAACGTGGCTTTGTGATATAATATTTTAGACCAACAGCTTACTGGCTGTGAAAGTGGTCCCAACGGTTTAGTTTGGATTTAGAATCAGACCGAAATAATTTTTTGTATGATTTGCACGTAATAAAGCCTATTCCTTTCGATCTGTTTCAATAAAATACCAACACGAAGACATGTCTATAAAATCCATCCGCTGCCATGAAAATAAGGAGCATGAAACCGGGACAGAATTTTGAGCAAATTAAAGAAAAATGTCTCATTTTTTATATTCAAGATCTTTTTAATACTGAACTTATAGTTTCTTGCCTGTCAAAAATGTAATCACAAAGTATTAGGGTTTCGTTTTCATGACAAAATCAATGTATGGATAAACGCACATACACATATATATTTTCTTTATTTTATGTTATTATTTTTTTTCAGTGGAATGCGCATCAAAATGTAAAGCGTGTAGCAATGTTGCCCTTGGCTACAATGGGACCAATGACATGCTCCTTCAAATGACCCTCGGGATGGTTGGATCAGCGCTCCAGTTCAACTACGTCTCGTGCGACGCCGCTGAGTACAACGACACCGACTGTCAAACGGACACCACCTGCTTGAGCGGTATAACTACGTTTTCACTCGCGGTGGTAAGTTTACAATTGAATGCGGCATGCTTATAGCAGGAGTTGTACTGCGAATGCAAGAATAAACGGCCGAACAAACTCATAAAAGAATATGTGTGTGTGTGTGGAGGGGAGGGGGGGATGAATCACTGAATGAATGAATGAATGAACCAACGAACAAATCATTAAATGAATGAGCCTGGTGAATGGAGCGTATCCATGGACGAATGATTAATGAAAAAAAAGACGAACTAATGCTCTAATGATAAGTATTGAATTCTAGCCTGATGAACCAGAGGCGGCTGTTATACACCAAAGGGTATCAGGATGCTGGGACGGGGAAGTAACAAACAGCCAGGAATTCCCTGTAGGATGCTGGGATATTGACAACAATTTCGGGCCCTTTCAATCGACTATCGAGATGTTCGCAGGAATGGGCCTCTTGGCTACCTTCGGGGGGCACGTTTGCGCGTGCACCGGCGATTTTTGTAACGATCCAGTATCAACGACGCCCGCTTTAACTGCGACCACTACCACGCCTACTTCCACGCCCTCTACCACGCCTACGACCACTCCTACTGCAACTTCTGAGTCCAGTACTACAACAATGCAGACCACTAAAACCTCGACCAGGCTCACCACTCCAACGCCCACATCCACGCCATCTACCACGCCCTCTACCACGCCCACCACCACGACCACGACCACTCCTACTACAACTTCTAAGCCCAGTACTTCGACCAGGCTTACCACTACAACCCTCACTGCAACTCCTACTGCCACGCCCAATGCTACCACGACCACGCCCTCTTCTGCCACTCAGCCTGGTAATAATTCCGTAGCTACTGGTAACGGTGATCGAGGGACATCCACGGGGTTTGATCCAACACTGTCTACAGCCGTTCCACGTGCTGTTGTTGACGCTGGCGGGAATAACGCGCCCTCTTATCTTGTGTCCGTTTGGTTTACTCTTTTTGTTGCCATCGGCAGCTTGTTGGGGCAGGCTCTTTTGGTGGTTTGAGAGAACACGCTGTGTAAAAGAGGCAAATAGACGGATACGTTATCCTGAACATACACGCAGTCATACACCGGACTGCACCAAATACGCAAGCATGCGTGTATACAAATTTATACTGAGTCAGAGTGAACAAACGTCCTCTCTCTCTCTCTCTCACACACACACACACACACACACGCGCGCGAGCGCGCGCACACACACACACATACCTGAACACATTCATTTGCACGTTTATACAAGCTCTACGTACACGAACCTATCTGTACATAGGATTTAAAGGGTTTGGAAATGACTCTCTCAATTTGACCAGTATTTGGAATTTTTATCAGTAACAAGGTCCTTATCTTATAGAAACTGCGGCGGAAATGCTGTCAATTTTCGAAATGTTGCAAAATAAGGAAAAAAGATATGTCTTCGACACATAGAAGTGCTTGGCTGCGCTCATGTAAAAAGAACTAACGGGCTTGCCATGGTTTAAATCGAGATTATTTTCCCCAATAACGGGATAGTTAAAGACATAGTTAGCGATATTTTTTTTGTCAAAGTAAAACAATCTCATTTGATCATGCTATTTTAAGAACATTCAACGTTCTTTGTTGTGAAAATTTGGTATTGTATATGTATTTAAACTAACATTATTTACACATTGAAACAGTGCTTCAAGACACGCAGACCGCATTGTTTAGGTGTATTATTATCAGTGTCATGTACATTGTACGTAAAAATTTTAGTTATAGATTAGTACAGCTCATTGTTGTAATATATTATTGTTAAGTCATGGCCATTTGAAAAATGTGCTGAAACCAATTCAAAGGTTATATATTAACATTTTAGATCACGCGTGGAATGATAGGAAATTGCACTGAATTAACGTGGAGACGCTAAAGTGCAAACAATTATATAAATAAGTACGATTGAATAAATTATTTTGGATGAAAAAAGTACATAGGCGTATGAAAAGGTATCACAAACTGATTAATGTCGTTCCACGATGACATTATTTGCCAACAAATTTGCCACCTATGGCTTTTTAAAATTAAAACTGCATCTGGGAAATAAATATATATATGTGAATGGGGCATAAGTTACAAAGCAGAGAAGTTCTGTTAGCAATGGTGCTACTATTTTGTCATGTAGGCTGTTGTACAGCTATTAACCAAGAAGTACCTCACTGTCTTTGGACGATTACATGGAATATCTGTAGCGTCCATTCTTAATATATTGTAAGCATATGATGCACTTTAGTGAAGGAAATATTACAAGCTCCAGATAAAAAAATGGTTTTACCTGTCATATATATTTTTTTCCTTTTTCCATTCTTTTGGTGTTTACAGAAAATTGGTCTGCGACCTCTCTTTATTCTTGTGGGTAGATGAGTCTCTGTAATTAGAGTGATTTTACAAAGCAAAATTTGTCGAAATAATAAGAGCGTTTATCACCAGTTTTCGGGGTTTGTTTGTTGTTGTTATAAATGTTTATGTGTAGTTATTAACTTATTTCCAACGCGAAGAGTAGTCGTTACATGTTGCTGTAAGAACGGATTTTAGCGTGACAGAGGCAAAAATGAATTGAATCGGAAATAAACATTAGGTAAGCATGACTCGCGATAACAAATTAGACGTCCACTCTCCGGAAAAGGGATTGTATAACATTTATCGTGTTACTGTGCATGCATGTCATGGATTCGTGACTGTCATAAGACAAGAAGAAAAATCAAAGTACTCTCTTATGCTGGCAACAGTGATAGGAAGATAAAATATAGGAATATTCTATTGTTTAATGAGAATCTGCTCCGTACGGGTGCACATACGGCATGTTTGATCAAAACATAAAGACGTGTTGAGAAGTTTATTTAGGTAAGATTAATTAAAAATTACAATTTGAGTTATTATTATTTTTTTTTTGCATAGTTCTTTTCCAGAAAGTAAACGTTTAATTTTTAAACTTAACATTGTGTGATTGAAGGCGCTTTTATACTAAACTTAAATGTTAAAAGACATTGATAATTGATGCAGAGTATCCCAGATAAAATAGCAGAAGTATATGAAATTTTCTCAGAAAAAATCTCTTGACAACATGGACAATTTCTATAGCTCGCCGACCACCACTCTACTTGTTGTCGTGACTGTGGTTAATTTGCTATCATTTGTACTTGACTCGCCGCACGAATCTCTGGTGACAGTTAAAGGTGTCACATCATTTCACGTGCAAGTAGAGCCATTTGCGTTAAACAGCTTAATGTGATGACCACAATGATGTTTGCGAGTTACAAGAACGCCTCTTCCTTGCACGATTACCGCCAACAAAGACACACACGACAACAACAACAACTGTAACAATTGGCTTAAATGTTTCAGTGAAAAAGAATAACTTCCATAAAACATATCTATAGGAGCAATGCACAGGTTTAATCAAACTTTTGATTAAAATTGGCGAGGCATGCTAGGAAAGAACAAAACGTTTCTGAATGCCGTACGTGTGACAACATTTGAATACATAACTGATAATTCTACTGTGCTGTGTTGTTTCGCCTTTAGCGTGTCGAGGTTATCAAGTCTTGTGGTATTTTTTTTAAAATTATTTAACCCAATTATGGATACATTTCTAGACAATCGAGAGGCCAACAACCCACACGTGATGGATGTGAATAAGAAAATGTGCAATAAAATAAGTTTTCAAATTTCAAAACACATTCACTTCAATGGAACTTTTTTAATGTTTGTAAACTTTTCGACTTTTAAAACTAAAAGGACGAAAATTTTGCACACACTGAGTATTATCATACATTTATTCTGTTTTGTTTATCTCAGCTCTCGGCACTTATTTGACGAAACGTTACGTCACTGCAATGTTTTAGACTATTTTTGCATGTCACATTACAATGCCTTACATAACGCTGCCAAGATCGGGCATTAAGGAGTCATGGCCAGTCATTAAAAACGTGTAAGCCAACCATAGATCCGACTATTTTTATTATAAACACCACAATTTATTGCACATATTTAAAAGGGTCCAACGCATATGTTGGCTTTGAGATGAGCTAAAAACACATCTTCAAATCTGCCTTAGTGTCACATTTTTCAGAATACAAACCAAAGTGCATCGTTGTTCCTCAGTCTCTCTTACACAATGAGATCAAAGTAATTGTACACAGGAATGGGCAATATCGCTGTTGAATAACCATATAAATACTGGCCCCTGTAGAGAAAGAGATTACGCCTTCAACGGTAGTTAATTTTTGATAAAGATATCATCACTGGGTTTCGAGTGGTTTTCCGTTTCCAGTAGGTGACCATAACATGGAAAGTAGGTGCATAACATGGAAAGAATAAAAAAGTTGATTAATACACCGTGTTCGGGGTGTGGTTGAAATCTCACTTTTGGAAATAAGTACGGGGAATGCGGCAGCTTTATAAATGTCTCATATTTTCAAATTGTTCAATAGGTTTGCCAGAACTAAAAGACCCTCGGTAAAAAGGTCCAAGTAATATATCGCATATCGCACTTAAATAAACTTTTCGCAAACTCAAGTCTGAAGAAGACACCATTGTCATTTTAGAAATTTTCCCTCTAAAATAATGGTGCTCAGACATAACCATCCGACTAACTCTGTCATAGTTTTTTCATTCATTTTTCTTCACTTTAAGTACGCCGGTTAGGCCTGGAGACTTTTCAACGCTTCAAAAAAAAAAAAAAAAAAAAAACGCGAAAATTGTCGACAGGCCTACGCAACACAGTCAGTCTTGGTCCAATTTGGAAATTTGGTGACCAGTTCTCATTTTCAATGTTTTTTCCAGCGTAAAACTGAAGTAAGGCGGAAAGGGTCTGGCCACTTTTGGATAATCTAAGGAATGGTCATATTGCTGCCGGTCCTTTGGATCAAGTCGATTCCCATGTACCACTAAACTCATTCGTAAATCGCACAAAATTTATGCATATTGTATACTCATTACAGGCGCGGTTTCTCTCCTAATCATAGTTTGTCGTCTGCGATTTTCTTGCTTCTTTAAAGACGCTTGCTTTCGGTCAACCAGACGATGCTTAACAACGGCCCCAAGTGACATCATATCAAACGCGTGATCAACATTTAACCCCGTTTTGGTCGATACAAAAAAGCACGGGTGGTCTATATTATGTTCCAGTTCCTTTCTGGACGGCAGTTGGGGATCCCAGGGTAGATCGACCTTGTTGCCTATAAAAGCTACGAAGGCGTCATCGCCGGGGCCGTGAGAGAGAAAGTCTTCGTACCAGCGCACTGCTTTTAAGTATGTCTCGTGGCGGGACACATCAAACACGATGCCACAGCAGTTGCTCCCACTGTAATATTTTTTCGCTTTGTGCGTTAATTTATCGTGTCCGGCTGTGTCCCAAACTTGTATGGCAACGGCACCAGCAGTTGTATTCACGTGACCTACGCCACACTCGGCGTCGGTCGTGGCTTTGTAATCTTTTCTGAGAGACGATTTGAACAACCACCTGTCCTTGAGAGTGGTCTTTCCCGTATCGGCTTCTCCTAATAGGACCATCTTCATTTCAAGTTTGGGCTTTTGTGGTTTTACAGTTTTTATAGGCGCCTCTGGGGAACGCAGGACTTGTAAAATCTCCTTATTCTGCGAAATAGCATGTTCCAGCTGTTTTATCATGCTTTCGCTCTGTTCTCGAAAAGCCTCGATAGAACGATAACTTTCGTGAACTTCATGATGCAGAAGCGCCTGCCTTTCTACGTCCTTCTCCCTCAACGCAGCCACCTTTTTCCTAGCCCGCATCCCTAGTTTAACAGATATCAGAGTGCTGGGGACGGCAAAGGCTATTCCCACCAAACTGCCCCAGGTCTGCAAGTTCTTGTCGACGGCGGGGAGAAAGGGGAGTTGGTTGGTGAACGCCAGCACGAACACCACGGCCAGTCCCAGGACAAGCACGAGGCCGAAGCTCTCCGGTCCTATTGCACGCGCAGTGTCCTTGAAACCCATATCCGTCGATCCAGTGTTCTATTTCTGAAATAATCAGAGTCGTTTTATTTGATGTCTATTTTCAAAGTATTAAATACACACACACACACACACACACACACACACACACACAGAGAGAGAGAGAGAGAGAGAGAGAGAGAGAGAGAGAGAGGGGGAGAGAGAGAGAGCTATAATAAGCTGGAAGGAAGATATAAAACTGTATTAATCAGACTACATATTATGTGCGACCCAGCCACCGTTGTATCAAAATCAAATAAACACTTATATGTCAACGTCCTACAAAGTTTTTGTTTACAGAAGATATGTCTAGGCGACCTTGTACATAGTGCGCTCCGACTCGTTTAATGCAAACGCGCACGCACGCACGCACGCACACCAACAAAAGGAATGTGGGAAAAATTGAACTATAGATAACCAATAATTTAAGCGTTTGTATGAGATTGATTGACTGTGTTGATAACGCATCTCAAAGGGATAAGACCTGGTAGGTCACAACTACATCTTAAAATCGATCAACTTTTATCTTATTTAGAAGTTTTGTTAGTTTTCCCAAACGCGCCAGATTGGTTTAAGAGGAGGGGGGGGGGCGTATTTTGCGAAAACTTTGCGTTGTATTTTTATACAGATAATATCCTTACTGCTGAGAGTCGGCCTGTGTAGAACATGCCCTTAACACTGACGAAGGAGTTGTATGAAATCCTTGACAAAGACCGTGCTTTGAGATCGCTGCATTTCCAGACCTTGGGTCGAGAAAATGTTTGGTGCGGAGTTGGATCGATCTGCGTAGACCGATAGTTTCTATGGGAATGAGCTCCCAGTGTTCATGTACCAATTAAGGCTCGGTTCCCCTGCTCCTATATATCTATGAAGGCCATGAAAGCCAACTGATCTGAGCACATTACGTGCACTATTATATAATTCTTAGCAGGTACTTATCGATAGTACAGGGGCAAAGTTTGCACGGCTAGACGATGAGTCTAGGCACACTAAGAAAGGGTTAGGTACATATACCGTAGATAGGGTCGCAATAAGTGAAGTTATCTCAAATAGACATATCTCTCAGCACTTGCAGTCCCTCTCACGGACTATTATGCAGAGTTAGGCGAGTTGTATTTGCTATAAAAAAGTATAAAAAATAAAACGAGCGCTTTTTCGGCGACCTTGCAGCTAATGGTTTACTTGCATGATGTTGTCATTGTATCAGTAGTAGCTAAGTCCTGGCGTACAACAGAGACTTGTTATGAATATTAAAAATTTTACACAGACTCTCACTTGGCCTATTTCATCACCTCACCGTGACCTGGTGTCGCTGTCGGTGTGTCCTTGAGTGCATATGAACAGTCATATATACCTGTACAGCCAAGACTATAGTAACTACGTATATGCTAGAAGAACTATAATTTACTGTGCACTTCTATGAGGTCACATACGTTATTAATTTTTCCTTTGTTCTGTTGCCTTGATGACATTGAATGAAGTTGGAACGTACACTGTATAGTATTAAACGGTGCCCCACATTACTGTACTGGTACGTATACACCATCAATACCTGCATCGTTAATTCTGTGCGTTTTGTTTTGTAGTTGTATCCATTTGAAGTGACCATAAACAGCCGACTTGCCAAGCCAGGTAAATATTCTGCTCACTGTTGACTAGACCAATAGGCTGAATAGGCATCAGAGTTCACACAGCACCGTGTCATAAAAGTCTAGAAAGTCTTTTGATACCGAAATAACTATAGGCCTACTCAGGACCAGCAAATCGATCCCAGACTATACGTACCAACTATTGTCCGTCGTCTTTTGCCGTCCGTGCAGTACTGCCATTCGCCCGTCCCATTAACGTCGTCACGGCTTTGTCTGGCTTTGTTTCCCTCACCACTCAACGCCTGTGTTTAAATGCTATGTATCCGAGGTCATAAGAAAGTTCTTCGTCTGCCTGCTGCCTCTACGTTGGCCTTAACTAACCCAGTCCAAATGAGCTACAAGTTCTTCTAAAACCCCAGATAGAGATCTAGGCGACGTCAGTGATCTATGTATTAAATATTATCGCTTTTAAAACTTTACCCAGACTTGCTACCACGCAGACGTCCTATACCCGGCAAATGAACTGTTCTAAATAACACCGCTCCGTCAATAAAATGTGTAAACTTTGAACGTCATAAATGGGTCACAGACTATTGGAAAAAACACGCTATTGACCATGCATGTAATTGGTGATGTAAACATAACGCAGGACAAGCAATTTTTTAAAATAGACAAACGCGGAGCGGGCGGAGGTATTGGTGTGATTTCATTATGTGAGGATACCACAGTTAACAAGTGAAGAACCCATGGTTCCCATGCATGCGAGTGTTCGAGCTGTCTATAGCATCCTTGCAGAGAGAGAGAGAGAGAGAGAGAGAGAGAGAGAGAGAGAGAGAGAATTTATTTGTCATTTTGTGTAGGGCCTTTGGACCCAGTATTGTAGGATTTTATAGTCGCTCAAAATAAAGGACTAAACTGGTTTTAAAAACGATGTCTGACGCTTGAGATGAATAAAGTCACTTCGTAGTCCTGGAGTTTACTGGTTCCAAATTAGCTTACATCCTTTTTTTTAGGATAAAGAAACTCTTTACATATAGCCGTGTTAGTTTAGTTTCGGAATTAATAAAAAAATTGACGCTTTTGCTCGGCAGGTAAATGTTTTGTATTACCGAAATTACTTCATGGTAAACAACAAAGATGACAATAATATTGAAAAACTAATGTCAACTTACTTTAAATACTTCGCATTTTCCCCACAAACAAAACTTTTACTCTCTGGGATGTCATCTTACCTGTTTAATGCTCTATGTCGACAAGTTTGCAACGTCCTCAGTGGTGCAGGACCTACTTCTAGAGCACGCGTAGAAATGGCTGCTATCTTTGTTTTGTAGGCCTAAATCAGGGTTCTTGTTTATTATTATTATGCTGGTATACATCAAGTTCAACTGCGTCCACGCTCTTCATTCTGATATACAGAGTTATTGCGATCACGTGAACACCATTGAGTATCCCGCTAAATAGCACGAGCAAACATGTTGTTTATTTACAGTTTAGCTACGTCACCTTGATATTGCTGACACTTTTTTTATCTGAATCAAATTAAAACTTACGGAACCGATTGTTTTAAAAATTGGCGCCATTAATTTTGAGGCCCGGTGCCCGTGCAGCAGCATCTTTTAGCAATGTATATGCCACTACTGCAAAGCTTCCTTGAGATGTTTCATGGCATTAACGTTGTGCATCAAGGGAAGACTTGGACAGTCACACGACATAATGTTATTATGCATTGCTTCACTATATTTTTTATATGTGAAGGGGTAACTGAAAACCCACCTATATTGCCAAAAACTTTAAAATTTGCAGTTTAACCTGGGATTAAGAGTGGAGTAAGATAATAAATACATTCACCACACACGTTCCTATAAATCGACGATGACACGTGTGGTTGATCCTAGCCGACCTACAACGAAGTCGTTTTGACAGCGATTAAATTTATCGTGGAGGAACAAGTCAGAACCCTCAAAAGGTTTAAAATGTTTATTCGTGGGTATCTGGTATGAAGTTGACCTAAAACAGCAGTACATCTCAGAAGCAAACACGAACTGAATTCTCTACTTTGCAATCCTCGTGTCACTTGTATATAACCCTTGTGACAAGAGAAGAGAACAAATACATTTGGAATATTATTTCTAAATACTAAATAATTGAAAAGCAAAATAATAACAATTGAAATACTAACGTGGGACTGCAAGACAAATATAGAATGACCAAGCACGAACGTGCCCACCATGAATCAGGAAAAGACATGGGGTCTGAATACATAAAAATTGAAAAATAGCAATGTGACAACCCCATTCTATTTAGAAATCCTTAATTCTTAATTTGTTAATCTGCTGTTTGTTTTGACAAAAACTTTAAAATTGCAACTCCATACAGGAAAAAAACTTGCCAAAATTGCACCTAATCTTGTCATATTTTTGAGGGAATAGTCAAGAATTGCCAGAACAGTTGGATTGCAATTAAATCCTCTATTGCACTTTTATTTCTGTTTTTTTGTTTTGGTAATTTAAAAAAAAAAGACACATAAAGGAAATTTACCAAAGATAAGCAATGCATCATTATAATTCCCACATGGCATCAAAATCAAAGGAGTTAATTGACTATTTTTGCATAAAAATGGAATGCAAATCTTTGATCAAATCAAATGAATAAAGAAATAAAAATTTAAAAATGCAAGAAGACCTGTATCAAAAAACAAGCAGCGCTACATTAAAAAAACCTGTTTTGCACTTTNTTAATAAAAAAATTGACGCTTTTGCTCGGCAGGTAAATGTTTTGTATTACCGAAATTACTTCATGGTAAACAACAAAGATGACAATAATATTGAAAAACTAATGTCAACTTACTTTAAATACTTCGCATTTTCCCCACAAACAAAACTTTTACTCTCTGGGATGTCATCTTACCTGTTTGATGCTCTATGTCGACAAGTTTGCAACGTCCTCAGTGGTGCAGGACCTACTTCTAGAGCACGCGTAGAAATGGCTGCTATCTTTGTTTTGTAGGCCTAAATCAGGGTTCTTGTTTATTATTATTATGCTGGTATCAAGTTCAACTGCGTCCACGCTCTTCATTCTGATATACAGAGTTATTGCGATCACGTGAACACCATTGAGTATCCCGCTAAATAGCACGAGCAAACATGTTGTTTATTTACAGTTTAGCTACGTCATCTTGATATTGCTGACACTTTTTTTATCTGAATCAAATTAAAACTTACGGAACCGATTGTTTTAAAAATTGGCGCCATTAATTTTGAGGCCCGGTGCCCGTGCAGCAGCATCTTTTAGCAATGTATATGCCACTACTGCAAAGCTTCCTTGAGATGTTTCATGGCATTAACGTTGTGCATCAAGGGAAGACTTGGACAGTCACACGACATAATGTTATTATGCATTGCTTCACTATATTTTTTATATGTGAAGGGGTAACTGAAAACCCACCTATATTGCCAAAAACTTTTAAAATTTGCAGTTTAACCTGGGATTAAGAGTGGAGTAAGATAATAAATACATTCACCAAACACGTTCCTATAAATCGACGATGACACGTGTGGTTGATCCTAGCCGGTCGACCTACAACGAAGTCGTTTTGACAGCGATTAAATTTATCGTGGAGGAACAAGTCAGAACCCTCAAAAGGTTTAAAATGTTTATTCGTGGGTATCTGGTATGAAGTTGACCTAAAACAGCAGTACATCTCAGAAGCAAACACGAACTGAATTCTCTACTTTGCAATCCTCGTGTCACTTGTATATAACCCTTGTGACAAGAGAAGAGAACAAATACATTTGGAATATTATTTCTAAATACTAAATAATTGAAAAGCAAAATAATAACAATTGAAATACTAACGTGGGACTGCAAGACAAATATAGAATGACCAAGCACGAACGTGCCCACCATGAATCAGGAAAAGACATGGGGTCTGAATACATAAAAATTGAAAAATAGCAATGTGACAACCCCATTCTATTTAGAAATCCTTAATTCTTAATTTGTTAATCTGCTGTTTGTTTTGACAAAAACTTTAAAATTGCAACTCCATACAGGAAAAAAACTTGCCAAAATTGCACCTAATCTTGTCATATTTTTGAGGGAATAGTCAAGAATTGCCAGAACAGTTGGATTGCAATTAAATCCTCTATTGCACTTTTATTTCTGTTTTTTTGTTTTGGTAATTTAAAAAAAAAGACACATAAAGGAAATTTACCAAAGATAAGCAATGCATCATTATAATTCCCACATGGCATCAAAATCAAAGGAGTTAATTGACTATTTTTGCATAAAAATGGAATGCAAATCTTTGATCAAATCAAATGAATAAAGAAATAAAAATTTAAAAATGCAAGAAGACCTGTATCAAAAAACAAGCAGCGCTACATTAAAAAAACCTGTTTTGCACTTTGACACCCCANTTTAACTTGGTTTAAGCAATGACTAGTCTTTGGGAAGTAATGGGGGGGGGGGGGTGATTAGTATAAAAAAGCAATACTTAATGGCTACTTCTCATACAACTGTACATTTTTAAAAACATGCTCAAAATACAAAATCACTCTTTCAACAAATATTCATATCATAATTATAATGTTGTCTATAATTGTTCATGATGATCTTTTCTTAAAATGTGCAATTTGCTACACAGAACATTTCACATAACTGTAATCAGACACACAAATCCCGGGGAAACACAAGTGCAAATAAAAAGCAACCTCTACCAAGTCTTAAATCGTGGTTTTATATCAAATCTGAATTGATTAAAGTCATTGCCTAGTTACGGTAAAATTGTATTTCTCAGTCCGTTTGATTTTAAATTAAAAAAAGATAGAAAAGTCTCAATATAAAAACACCCTTCTTAAAGTGCACCAAGGGTATGCCAACAGTTTGCTTTAAGCAAATATATTGAGGTGTTATCACCTTGCAGAGCTAGTTTTTCCCTTTTTTGATTACATGGAGTCAGTTACTTTTTTTGCAAACAAGGTTGCAATATGAAAATGTGTACAGTGTAAAAAAAAAAATAAATAAATAAATAAATAAAAAAAAACCCAAAGCATACAAACACTAGGAAATGAATTCCATCATAGTGAGTGACTGCAGTTTCTCTTCAGCACCCATATTACTAACTACTGGCGGCTGTCTACAATGCTTTCTTATAAACAATGAATAATCATTATCTTAGAACCTTCCAAGTAATGAAGAATTGATATATAAACCTATGCTGCTTAGTGAAGGTTCACTCCAATATACCTCATCAGAATAACAGAAATGCTATGATTTTCAGTGATTAACAATACTTATAATAATAAAACGCATGTTTTTACATGCAAACTGTTATTTAGGAAGTTTGGTTTCACACACACATACACACAACAAAGACAAAACTAAGAAAAAAAAACTTCCTAAAATCCTACTTACATCTACACTAGAATATATATAATTTTTTTCTAACAGGCAAAGTGCACTTTGTAAAAATAATTTTCAATCTCTATATTTACTCTCTACGATTCCTGAGCCCTCCACACTATAAGGTGGTGTGCTTGTTCTGCGTTCACATAACACAGTGGATGTTGACTGCTTTACGTCAGTCAAGTCCACAGCACGTTGTCTTCAGGGATGGGAGCAAAGAATGCTAATACTTCAAAACAGGAAACCCCGTCTCTTCTTTAACCTCTACTAGAATTATCTAATTTTATAACCTTCTTATGCTAAATCCTTTTGCTTCCTATTTTTTGTAGTAAAATGAGGAAATTTTGTTCCTGGATAAAGGCAATCAAATCTGAAGTGACTGCAATCAACTGCATATTCTCACAAAAGCATGCTATCAAAGAGTACGTTTACAGAGGTGATAATCTTTCCTCTGTATGTTTCAGTGGCACACGGGTATTAGAACAGAAGCTACAAGTCCTGGGACCCATTAAAAAAAAAGAAAAAAAACTTGTTTAGCAAATAAATGGTGTAGTTGCATATTATCTAAAATGGAGATTCGGTGAACAAAATATGCAACAAGAAATTGTCAGATGATGGAAGATTACTAAAATAGGCTCCAGAAAAAAAAAAAAAAAAAAAAAAAGAACAACAGCTGTGCAGAACAGTCCTGGTGGTGGCTTGTGTGAGTGGGCCTTTGCATTTACAGTATATTGTCCAGGTTTTCAGGTAGACTCCGCCGCCCCATTCTCCTCTTCCACCTCCTCCGATTCCTCCTCGGCTTCTACAGGTGCCTCGGATTTTCTAGGACGTCCTCTGCCTTTCTTTTGACCAGTTAGAGTTATCTGACAAGAGAATGTAAACAATACAAAGGTACACAGAGTGAAGGATTTCATCACATTTCTACAGGATTTGTTTCAATCAATTTCTCTCTTTTAATCACTTTTTTCTTTTCTTTGCCAAACCTTATTACTATTTTCTTTTTCAAAAAGTACAGAAAAGTCTACTGACAAATTTGGATTTTAGACTCAAAATAAATATAATTATTATTATTAAATCATATAGTAACATTGAATTACTAGTACATCATTTTCAGCATGTATCTGTGTGTGCATGCATGTGTGCACAAGAGATAACGAAACGGGCCTAGATCTTGATTACTTTCAACACATCCTATACAACTCATTTTTTCCAAATATACGTTAAACTCACTTTCAACTTAATTGGACCCTTCTTTTTGGTGCCTTTGGGACGTCCTCGGCCACGTTTGGGAGTTCCTGAGCTGCTTTCTTCTTTTTTTGCCTGGGGTTCAAAATAAATAGAATACAGATGTTGTGTGACAGCACCCTTATGAGACAGAACCCGAATTTCGATACAATCCCCATTAGGCCTAACAGCATGAGGGCCATCGTCACATGCACGAACCGAGGTATCAGTATTGATGTTGATACCGAGGCCCGTAACACCGCCAGCACTGATGAATGCAGACGGACCAACTGGTAGAGGCAGTGATATGTCTTCCACATTGGTTTCGTTATCATTAGCCTCATTCAATATTTGTGGTACTGGTTCTGTAGATGCCCCAGGACCAGAGTCAAGAGATGGCAAAGATTTACCCAGACCTGTGCGTTTTTCTGTCTTTTTTGGACTAAAGTTGACTACAGACTTTAAGCTGCCCCTGATAGGACCTTTTTGTAAAATGTCAGGTAGTGATAATCCTGAGGAATTAAGTACCTGAGGGACCTTCTCATCAGACTCTGAAGGCATCTCCAAAAAAGTTCCTGGCCTGGAGACAACATCTTCCTCAGTGTAATGGTTTAAATGTCTCTTACTTTGCCTTCTTTTGTGAAAAACTTTTGAACTGGTTTTATGCTGGTTAAACTTTTTTTTATAAGCCCTACCATCTTTATTTTTATGTGGTCTTTCAACATTCCTATGTCTCTTAAAATTAAATGTGCTTTGGGCCATTTCATAGTTGTGTCTATTTTCTTCCTTACGTGGTCTTCCTACTTTTCTTTTTGTTAAACCCATTTTGCCTTGGACCACTTCATAGCTATGAGCGACTTCTTCCTTATGTGGCCTTTCAACTTTCCTTTTTGTTGAACTTGATTCACTAAGTTTGACTAGTTTTTTACGAGGTCTCCCAACTTTTCTTTTCATTGAACTCATCTTGCCTTGGGCAATTTCATAGTTATGTGTGACTAGTTCTTTATGAGGTCTCCCACTTATTTTTATTTTGGTCAAATGTTCTTTGCCCTGGACTGTTCCATAGTCATGGTCATGGCAGACTAGAGCTTTACGAGGTCTTCCAACTTTTCTTTTTAACAAACCTGCTGTGTCATGGACTTTTTCTTTGGCATAATCATGAGTGACTAGTGCTTTATTGAGGCAGTCAACCTTCTTCTTTTTATGTAGCTTATCTTTATAGTGATCTCCATAAAGGAGCTTCTTACTTGCTTTTCTGACTTTGTTTTTGTATGAAGCAATTGCAGGATTCTTAAAAATTTCTCTGGATGGATCTATGATTCTTGGATTTTTTCTGGGTCTTCCCACTTTTCTATGAGTTTTACCCTGATCAATGTTTAGCACCTTGGTACCGAAATAATGTGAACTCTCAGTTCTTTCTGGTAATGTCACATTACTTCTCACCAGTGAATTTTCAATGCGTTTCTTGGGTGGTCGCCCTCTCTTTTTTATTTTCATTTGTTGTGTGCCTAATTTTTCTGATGATGACATATGGGGTGGGTCACTGACCTCGTCTTGTTTATCAGAATATGAAAAAGGATTTTCTTGTAATTTTGTTGAATCAATATCAGGAACACTAGATTCCTGAACAGAGCATTCTTCAACCACCTGCCCTTCATTAATCATTTCTGGCACATTTGACCGCGATTCTCTACTAGCAGCTGTACCAGAGCTGGTAGAGCTCTTATCTGGAGAATCATCCTCCTGGTTATTGCCTTTGCCAGATTCACAATGCATCACACCTTGATCAACATATCCCAGATGAGATTCACTTTGATATCTTCTACCTAGTGTAAAACTTTCTTCAGTAGAATTAGCACTCACTGCCGCAGTTTCATTATCTTGAGACTTGACTGCATCATTTTTGGCCATTTCACCTACTTCTCTTGGTATCACGTTCTTACGTGGTCTCCCTACCTTCCTCTTAGGACTACCCAGACCCAACTGCTTAGAACCAGACTGTTGATACTTATACCTACATAAAACCTTTGTCTGATTGAATGGGGCTTTTGAAGCAACCTTGTATGACTTAGAGGGCCTTCCCAACTTTTTATAACTAGCAATTTTAAACTTTTTAAAAACTTTTGATGGATGTAATGTTCCACCAGGCTCAGGACTACCCTTTGTGTTTTTACGAGGTCTGCCTCGTTTTCTTTTTCCAGGAGGTACTTCAAGACTAAGGGGTTTGGTTGGCTCTTTAGATGTTTCCCCTGACACCAACTGATGTTGTGTCTTATTCCTAGTCATATTATCAGAATATGTCCCAGTTTTGTTTGCCTCTGGTGGCACTGCACTGTCTTCCATTACCACACTTTGTTCATCAGCAAGGCTACCCTCAAAGGAAGTCTTAAATTTTTGAATACTTTCTGACTGTTCCAAGAGGTCATGTTCTTCAGCAGTACAATTTCCTTGAGAACTGATTTGATCAGTGTCATCAGCACCTTCTGCACCACCTATTTCACAGTCAGAACTCCGAGTCACTGAGTTTGAAACACCACTTTTCAATCCTGGCCCAAAGTATGCCCTAGCCTTATCACTTTGAGTTGATAATTGAGATAGTGATTCAAAAAATGTTAAGGATTTGCTATCATATAAACCTTTCAGTGGAGCAGCACTGCTTTTTGAGGGCCTTCCACGCTTTCTTTTCACGGTAACTGACTCCTCTGAGGAACCAGTCAGGGACTCCAATGAATCGGTTTTTAAGTTCCTCGAATCTTTCTCAGGCGATGATGAAACCACTTCCCCAATTTTATCATTTGACTCTTCTTCAAACCTAGTAAGCTGATAATTGTGAACTTCTCCACGACATGGTGCTGTAGAGCTAAGATTAGATTCAGAAGATGATGCTTCACCCAGCTTGGTTAAGGGATAGTTATCTGGGGACTGGGATGACCCCGGCTGGTCAAGTTCTCCAGGCCTGGTCGTCCCACCACCCAGAGGAGAAAGCTTGCCTGCCACACAATCCCAAACCTAGGGATGAGAGGAGAAAACAGGCTATTAGGCCCTTGCTAAAGGATCCTTAAAGCTTTTTATCACAACTTATTATAAATGAGCTGAGGTGAATTACTAACTTGACAACACAATAAGACCCTATACTTAATAACTTTCTAAAATCAACTACCACCAGGATTGAAACTACATATTAACTGATTTTATCTACTTGCCAATGGTATAATTCTCAAAAACCTTTCATCACCTTGAAGCTCATTGATATACGTGCAGGAATTATCCTAGACTACTTAACTGCCTCTGAAGAAATGTTTTGACATTGAAAATGTCTGCCTGACATGATAACTAAATAGATACTTCCTAGACAAATATACAACTGTGAATACTCTCACCATCACAATCCTGCATACCTGAATTATCTATTGAATAGCTTAGCATATAGTAGTTTTAATAATAACTAAACATCACCTGGCAACATGTAAGTGACTTGAGACATTTCAAACAAAAACCATACGTAGCACAGCAGGCTTGTAGCAAGAAGTTTCAAAAGGAGATATTTTTCTGTAAAAGTAGACCTTTTACCATGAAACCTTAATGTACCTTGATCAATTTTTATCAACAGCTGACCTTTTACCTTCCAAAAAGGGGTTCACCCCCCCCCAACCCCCTTGCCGCTACACAATATACAGGTTTCTTTAAACCAAAAATGGCGTAGTGGAAAAAAATCAATTCCTATGTGAAACCAGCAGAACCATGGACTAAACTGTCTAAAATATATAACTTCACATATGCTACCCTAACAGCACTTCTTAGAATGTCTAACATATCTTTTGCAGAAGGAAAGTGTACAATATTAACAATGAGATGTTTTTTTTTAAACCTGTATTTATAACATGTTAGTGTAAAATGAAAAGTCTCCCACTCCATGAAATGTAATTAGAAAGATTCTGAAGTAAACTTCTGGATAAACTACCATGAAAATAATATTTAAGTGCCCTATAGCATGTAGGACTGAACATTAAGAGATCATGACATGTACTAGCAGATTTAAAACAATATTATTGAAATATTTTTGACACCTACCGATGCTGCTTTTACTGCTGCCACATCATCTGCTAATTCATCTTTTTTAGAAGGCTGTAACAAATAAAATACAAATTGCAGTATTTCAAAAGAAGGAACATTGACAGGAAATCATGTGGAATTATTTAATAACTAGTAAATTCATAATAATGCCAATATTTTCGTGAATTCACAGAAAAAAAAAAAAAAATATATATATATATATATATATATATATATATATATATATATATATATATATACACAGTGTTTGCCTCTTGGGAAAATTAGTTGCTGGACCAAAAGTCCAGCCATCTTGAAAAGTAGCTTTTCAAGTCTGCAATTTGACTGTCTGTCAATTTGACTTTTCTAAAAGTTGTCAGCCCCGGGCAGACGGTCCAGCCTGAATTTCTCACATATATATATATATATATACTAAATAGCCTTTACCATGTCAAAGGGACTTTGAACCTCCTTAATCAAGTTTACAGTATACTATTCCATTGACAAGGCATTGAGCAGGCTACCCTGAGACTGGGTTCCCATACCTAGATAGATCTAACAGGATCAGTCCATCTCCATGGGGTTTCTTGCTAAATTGTTTTCAGCTTTAGTGGCTTAGATGTCTGGGACATTTACTAAAGCTGCTGAACGATAGTTAATTATCCCCCATCAGCTTCAGTAGGCGTGAAAGACCTCTAAGATCGCATTCACAACGAGTTGAGCCATGGCTTTACAAATCCTGGAACTAAATATGGCGGACGTACATGAAAGAAAAACCGCCTAATCTTTTAATAGTCTCTCTGCCTCTCACACGCCTCCCCATGCGTCGTCCCTGCGAGGGTACAGTCATTAAATCTCGGCTCCATTGGGACGACACATGGGGAGGCGTGTGAGAGGCAGAGGGACTATTAAAAGATTAGGCGGTTTTCCTTTCATGTACGTCCGCCATATTTAGTTCCAGGATTTGTAAAGCCATGGCTCAACTCGTTGTGAATGCGATCTTAGAGGTCTTTCACGCCTACTGAAGCTGATGGGGGATAATTAACTATCGTTCAGCAGCTTTAGTAAATGTCCCAGACATCTAAGCCACTAAAGCTGAAAACAATTTAGCAAGAAACCCCATGGAGATGGACTGATCCTGTTAGATCTATCTAGGTATGGGAACCCAGTCTCAGGGTAGCCTGCTCAATGCCTTGTCAATGGAATAGTATACTGTAAACTTGATTAAGGAGGTTCAAAGTCCCTTTGACATGGTAAAGGCTATTTAGTATATATATATATATATATGTGAGAAATTCAGGCTGGACCGTCTGCCCGGGGCTGACAACTTTTAGAAAAGTCAAATTGACAGACAGTCAAATTGCAGACTTGAAAAGCTACTTTTCAAGATGGCTGGACTTTTGGTCCAGCAACTAATTTTCCCAAGAGGCAAACACTGTGTATATATATATATATATATATATATATATATATATATATATATATATATATATTTTTTTTTTTTTTTCTGTGAATTCACGAAAATATTGGCATTATTATGAATTTACTAGTTATTAAATAATTCCACATGATTTCCTGTCAATGTTCCTTCTTTTGAAATACTGCAATTTGTATTTTATTTGTTACAGCCTTCTAAAAAAGATGAATTAGCAGATGATGTGGCAGCAGTAAAAGCAGCATCGGTAGGTGTCAAAAATATTTCAATAATATTGTTTTAAATCTGCTAGTACATGTCATGATCTCTTAATGTTCAGTCCTACATGCTATAGGGCACTTAAATATTATTTTCATGGTAGTTTATCCAGAAGTTTACTTCAGAATCTTTCTAATTACATTTCATGGAGTGGGAGACTTTTCATTTTACACTAACATGTTATAAATACAGGTTTAAAAAAAAACATCTCATTGTTAATATTGTACACTTTCCTTCTGCAAAAGATATGTTAGACATTCTAAGAAGTGCTGTTAGGGTAGCATATGTGAAGTTATATATTTTAGACAGTTTAGTCCATGGTTCTGCTGGTTTCACATAGGAATTGATTTTTTTCCACTACGCCATTTTTGGTTTAAAGAAACCTGTATATTGTGTAGCGGCAAGGGGGTT